AGAGAATTCAAGATAATACATTTTCTATGTAGATAAACACATAAAAAATTCAAAATGTACTATTAGAAACATGAATAATACTAAAAATTTTCTGAATTCATGACCATAAACTCTCTGAAAAAATATCAATTGTTCACAATTTGTTTTTGCTTAGTTTCAAAATTCTGTTAGCTCGTACCTCGTCTCGTGTCCACGGATTTCTAGGTTATGAGTTAATCATATAGTTAATTGCTTTTTCTTTCGATGTTGCGATGTCACTACTGAAGCCCGAGAGTTGGTAAGGACTAAAAGAAATCAACACAATCGAGTTCTATTACTAAATTTAATAAATAAATAAATTGGTCGTTGATAAATGATGGTGTAACGTCTCAAATTTTATTGACTTAAATTTTGAGGTGTTATCGATTTCATTTCATAATCATACATGAAGTGAAAATATTTAATTGAAAATTTAAAATTTCATAATATCGAAATAAATCATACAAAAAACATTAAATCATGGAACTTAAAGTGTTCATTGGAAATCTAAGAAATACTAAATCTCTAAAAGAAAAATAAAACTAATTAGTGATGATTTCCCTGAAAAATGTTTTACTTGGCAACCCGCACATCATTCAGCTATCATTTACGTTGAACCGATTTAACCTGAAAAGTTAAAAATTTGAAGGACTAAGTATTTTAAGCCTAGTAGGATACGTGCGTCTCAAATAATATAATAATTTTTTAAACATAAATTTATGACATTCCTTACCACCATTTCATCCAGAGCAGTTAGAGATAGATCGGATGCTCTAACACATTTTTGTGCAAACAATTGAGAAAATTCGAAGGAAATCTCACATTTCATTTCATCAAGACCCGTAGGTCAATTAGCATTTCATGAAATAAATTAGGTAAAAAAATTTATAATATTGTAAGGACATGTCAACTTGCACATAATATCCTACCTCGTTAAATGAATTATTGAACGAAATATGAAAGCACGTGCCCAAATTCTTTTCTCCAAATCTTTGCTCAGGTGAAAGTGTTGACAGTAATATTCGATGTTTGTAAACTTTTTGATTTTCAACACTGAATCATGCCTATATATATATAGGTAATTATGACCTAGGAGTTGTATGTAAAGTTGAAAATAGTGTATTGAAAGAGTTTTGTTTAAAGTACGCTTTAGAGTAATGTTATTCATCCCCAATGGGGTTACAAACACAGTTTAGGTGACTCTAAATGATAGGTTAAATGAAATGTGAAATGACTTATTTAATTTCATATATCATTTAATGTCACATTAACGCTACTTAAATGAAATGTGAAATGACTGTATATCATTTAACTTCCCCATCTTGATTTTCCCTATTTTACACCAACCGTATATCAAAATTGTATAAACCTTAAAGTCAGCCTCAACTCTATATTTCTCCTTATTAAACACCTCAGTAGCCACCTTCACATATCCATACTTACAGAGGGTATCCAAAAAACAACACAAAGAAAAGAAAGCTGCGAGTCAAACGACAATACTAAAAACGACATTCAATTTTCTTTGAAAGAATCTCTTCATTTCATATATGTATTTAAACATTATTGTTATTAAGATTTAAGAATGTTTCAATTCACAGTGCAATTCAAATAGCAATAATTACTGGAAAGTCTGGAATCACACTCACAGTCACAAAGAGGCAGCATTAGCATTTAGCAATATGGAGTGGAATTAGGCTTCAGTCACAGAGTTAGCAAACTCACATTCACAGTCACCGAGTACATCAAGACTTGAGAGCAAGCTTCAGGAATCACCAAATTAGGCTCGATGGCTTCACAGGCCTGAGCCTTCTATGTCTAATTTCAAGAGCAATTGAAAAACAATTCAATACCATTTCAAGATTGCAAGCAATTCAAAAGTAATTTCATATCTTAAAAATAAAAAATTACAACAGTACACAAATGACAAAATTGAGGGGCTTCACCTTCTTCTTCTGCCGTTGAATCACCGGTGGAAATGTGGACTCGAAGGTGAAGGTCTGCTAACGGGAAATGTGGACTCAACGGGCTCAAAGGTCAGTGGACTCGAAGGTGAAGGTCTGCTGCCGGGAAATGTGGACTTGACGAGCTCAAAGGTCAGAAGACTATTATAATTTATATCTAAGGGTTGAAACTTGTAGAAATGGAAACTGTCTCCAGTAATCCTTGTTAGGTTTAAATTTTAATTGCTAAATCTCATCAATGGAAAGACCTTATGGATATAACCATCATGAATTAAAAGCAAGTACTTGGTTGGAAGAGTTTCCTCGGGTGGGGCGGATGGGCCCCGGAGCCGGAGGCGCAAATGGAGAAGCGGGTGGGATTTGGGAATGAAATGGAGCAAATTACAGATAGGGTGGGAATTGCGAAGGTTTTTACATTTTTTGGATTGGGATGGGCCTTCCTTCTTGGGCTGGAAATTAACTTATAACTAAAAAAAAATTTTTGAGCCCAAAGTTCAGTGTGGGCCTGTGCCCACACTGGACTATACTTGGCTCTGCCCCTGGATGGGTTGATTTAAAATTTTTGATAAGCCAAAACGAAATTTATATTAATACGAATTTATAATCCTAATCATTCAATTGGCTAAAAACTAAATTGGGAGATAATCAATACGTTATTTTGTAATGAAAGTGGAGATTATCATTTTAATTCCAATGAATATCAGTAGAGTTTTGATGCCATCAAAATTCGAAAAGCCATTTGGATAAGAACTAGTTTTAACATAGAGAAATTAGGATTAATATTAAACTATATAAAACAAAGACTTTTTTCACAATTAACATTTATCGTAATCAAAAAAAAGATTATATTCAACAAAAATAAATCATGGAACCAACTTTAATTAATTATCATTAGAGGTAACTTAGCCCTGTTTGAGCCATATTATTATTATTTTTTTCATTCTCATTTTTCTACTCATTTTCAAATACACATTCTTTAATAAAATAATATTTTACATCATATGAATAACTTTTTCTTCTTTTTCAACTACATATTCCTCATCACATCAAATAAAAAAATGCATTCTTGACTTCAAAATGTGCACCAATAGGGGCATATTTGATCTTCAATATCTCGGGCCTAATTTATCCGAAATAACTTTTTATGGAGCCTAATGAAAAAAAAATCATGTGTAATTTTTTTTTAACGTACTAGCTCGACCTGTAATTCGGTCCTGGATCCGTCCCTGATCATCACTCTATCAAAATCCAAATATTTGACTAAAAAATATAAGAATTTAAAACATATTTCACTTTAATCCCTCAACTTTCAAAATAATAATATATTGAACAAATAATATTTTTTTTAATTCTAAAATTTTCGGGTGTTACATATGGTCACTCGATGCTTCTTTGAACTGTCTATAAATTTCAATGAGCAAGAATTCTTCCGTGCTTACATACAGGCGAATAAACTCCCTACGTGTTTTCTTACTCTTTGAAAACCAGTCTCTGTCATCTCGTTCTCTCCATGGAGTTCAGCGTTGACACATAAATATTGTAGGTTATGCTCAGACCATAAACTATCAAATCCTCACGAGGATATGTAAGCGCGCACACTAGGAAACTTTGAAAACTCAAAATACATCATACATAGCTTCACTAGCTCTATAATAGTTTGCTTCCAAACCTGTAAAAATGTGGTTCTTCCTATCCGAAGGCTAGTCGTTCCAAAAGAACCAGAAAAAAAAAAAAAAAAGCCCGACTCCAATATAAAGTGAAGTCCGGTATCGTGGCCTTTAAAAGCGATAAAATTACAGATTTCAATTCAGTGTCTTGTTCTCTTAAGATCATAAAGGTGATCACAAGCCAAGAAAGCATAGCAACGAACTGCACAACTTTCACAATGTGTAAAAGAGCACATTTATAAAGGTAGTAGCAAGTGAGAGAGACCCTCCCAGAATACCAGGAAGGTCAAGTTGGAGTAGTTCTATTAGGTTCAGAAACAAGAAAGTAGAAGTGTGGGAATAGTTGAAAGATAGCTGAAGTTTTCACCATTCATATTATGCTAAATGAAGAGCCTGTTTGGCTGGGATCTTCTTGTAGACTTCCTTAGATCAGCTTCCTTTAAAGTTCTATCAAGACGACCACTTCCATAAAATTATCAAAACATGTTCAAAAACAGCTTCTTAATCTCAAAAACCCTGCAAAACAGGCTCTAAAAAGACTTGTAATAGCTTCTTCAAGATTTCTCTCTTCTATCTAGCATATCCTGACAAACATGAGTGTTCTAATTTCTAAAAGCCGTGAGATAAAGCTGTGTGTAATCCTAGCCTGAAGCCAAGGACCCTATATGAAGCAATAGAAATTACACAAGTTTATTTCACTCACATTTTGCCCATAAGAAATTTCTGTACCTGCATGACCATTAGTCACATATCAGAATCCTTCAAGACTCCAAGCACCCTTTGTGCTCACCTACAGTTTAATGTTTTAGTCATAAAATTTTTAAATTCACAATTAATCAATTTATAAATGCTTAACCGTCTTCAACTAGACACCTTATTTCTAACAGGAAGAGAATCATTCGTGCTCTGAATTCGCACCAAAAGATAAGACATCATATGGAGATATATAGAACAAATTTGCGAACAAGCGTGTGATCAAGAATGTGAAATATCATAGCTAAAAACATGGAAGATAAGAAAGATGCAGGACGTTTTCCTGCTTGGATAGTCAAAGTTTTCCTGCTTGGATAGTCAAACATCGGCCAATTCATAGATTATAAGGCATACACCAAACATATTTCACTTCAAACTTTGGTACATAAAGCTAGCAGTCCGTTACAGAGAATGTAACAGTGGAATACAAAATCTCATTGCCCAGAAAGGCTTATTTCATACAAGCATATAGTATTAATAATAGGATATCTCTACGCTCATAGGAGAACTTCAATTCTCTCTGAAAAGCATCCACGAAAGACTCGAGACCCTGCATACTAATCAACACCAACAAAGAGAAAAACTAGAAAAAATGGATGCTCTAGATAACATAATCAGACCATTCAGATATATGAGATGTATGGTCCATGGTCAAGCTAGGCAATTTATCTAGCTTAATGGGATTCTCCTTCCCTCCAATCAATCTAGCAGGGTTCCCTAGAGCCGTAGTTCTAGCAGGCACCTGCTTTAGCACTACAGACCCTGCTCCAATCTTAGCTCCATCTTCAATTCTAACATTGCCCAAAACACAAGTACCTGCCCCAATCAATACCCCATCTCCGATTTTTGGGTGCCGGTCCCCAGATACCTTGCCAGTGCCACCCAATGTCACATTATGCAAAATTGAAACATTATTCCCAATTACCGCTGTTTCTCCAATAACAACTCCAGTAGCATGATCAAATAAAATCCCACTACCAATTTTCGCCCCCGGATGAATATCCACCGCGAACACCTCAGAAACCCTGTTCTGTATTAGCAGAGCCAGGATTTTCCTCCCTCTTAACCATAACTTATGTGCTACCCTATGAGCCTGGCAAGCTAAATATCCTTTGAAATTCAAGAAACAGTGCACATAACTAATACAAGCAGGGTCCCTCTCCTTAACTGCCATTAAATCATCTTTTACAGCTCTCATAATATCTTGATTCTCTGTGAGCAAACCTATGAAAAGATCATAAAGGCTTCCACTGGGCAGGCTAGAATTGCTCAATTTCATGGCCAGATGATTAGCCAAAGCACTTTCCATAGAATCATGCAACAAAATTGAACTGAAATAATAATTTGACAATATGGGTTCTTGATCAATATCTGACCTGGCCTCATCCTTCATCAGCTTCCACAAATTATCTACATCTTCTTCATGATTAAAATTTCCATTATCCGAAACTGTGGGTGCACGCGTGTGGAGGGTATTCGATCCTTTCTCTGAAATAGGGGCGCAAGAAACAGTGTCAGCAGAATTGGGTCTACAATATTCAACATAATTTTGAAACACACGGTCATCAACATGAGTTCTGTTTGGTTTTGTCTGAGGAGGGGTTTCTGTTCTCGAAGTGCGCACACAAGTGCCCATGGCGAAAATTGAGAACTCGACGCGCTTCAAAAAGGGTCGTATAAATGGTGATCCAAGAAAATTTGCAGAGACAGAAATGCAAGGCGCAAGAAAATGTGGACCGGCGGATAAGAAGTTACATAGAGAGGGAGAAGTGGATAGCGAAAAAGCCAGAATTTTCATTGGAAAATGATATTTTTTCTTGGGGCAAAATTGAAAGTTTTGAGGAGAACAGGAAACGTGGAGGAATCAATTAGCGAATGTCCGAGAGGATGACGAGGATGCGTGTACTGGCAGAAGTTCTTATGATACGCGCGGCAGCCATAACAGGGACAATGAGAAATGACATATTGTTTATCGTGTAGAAATTTATGGGTCTAACTCAAAGTGCGCACACAAGTGCCCATGGCAAAAATTGAGAACTCGACTGGCTTCAAAACGGGTCGTATAAATGGTGATCCAAGAAAATTTGCAGAGACAGAAATGCGAGGCGCAAGAAAATGTGGACCGGCGGATAGGAAGTTACATAGAGAGGGAGAAGTGGATAGCGTAAAAGCCAGAATTCTCATTTGGAAAATGATATTTTTTCTTGGGGCAAAATTGAAACTTTTGAGGAGAACAGAAAACGTGGAGGAATCAATTAGCGAATGTCCGAGAGGATGCCGAGGATGCGTGTAGTGGCAGAAGTTCTTATGATACGCGCGGCAGCCATAACAGGGACAATGAGAAATGACATATTGTTTATCGGACGGACAATAAGTTGGAACAATTAAATTTTACATAATTTTTTACAAATTGATGAGATGATGACAAATCCAAATAAAATTGTCAAAAAAAAAAATAAAATCACTACTTAATACTATCGTGCTTATGTAATGTGAGTTAATAACAAAAAGAAATTGGAGAAAAAATTTCGTTTGGTTGGTGAGATTTTCACGGCATCCGTTATCCGTTAGTATGCAAATTTGTACGTTGGTCAACCAAATGAAAGATTTCTCTCCGCTATCCAACGTTAAATAAGCACGAACATTTAAGTTTGGAAGAAATTTTGACCGTCTTACTTCAATTAATTGTCGACTCATTTATCTATAAAAAAATTGTAGATGTTACGACGAGCATTTTTCATGTGCGAATCAAAACCAATAAGGAGAAGTCAATAAAGTTCTTTGTACAGAGTTGAGTTACAAAAGTTTGGTTACAAAGTGTGTTGACAAAATTCAGACTGTTGATTTTAAATGACTTCAAAATCTGTTTTTAAAATGATTGATGTAAATGTTAACTCGAAGAGAAGTAGGTGGGAGTGGGGTGACGAATGCGGTGACGGTTTGTTTGTCTATCATGTTCACGTGCTCATCAAATTGCACATTGACTATTAATGTTACGTAATTATCTTGTTGCAACTTTGAAACTTTGCTTGTTTGGATAAACCTAAGTATGAATTCATTTCAAACATACTTTTTTCCCCTTCGGATAAATCAAGATTAAAAGCAATAGTTTAAACACTAATAAAAAGCAAATTCAAACACACGTGTAGATGGGTTAAAGTGAGAATTACGTTATTTAGCCCATGTTTGATCTGTAGATTAAAATTAGATTTTTAGTAAATTTTGATAAAAGTTAATAAAATTATTAAAAAGTTACGAATCTCATAAAATACATGATTAAAATTAATTGTTGACTTTTACTGTCTATGTTCGGATTGAAATCAGGTTTTTATTAAATTTTGATAAAAGTTAATGACATAAGTGGTTGAAAAGTCGTGATCCTATAAAAAATATTGTTAAAATGAATTGTTGACTTTGATTTAAAATTTTTAATCTATACCAAATTGGGATTTTTTTTTTAATTAGAAATCATTATCAATTTATACGACATATGGCGTGTTATAAAATGACAATTAAATTAAGGGAAGGGTATTCAATTGAAACGTTTAAAGATTTTTTTAATTAGGTGACTTGCGTGAAGTTTATAAATTTTTAAATAATTTCTATGAATTTGGTAAGAATTAATAAAAGTCTTCCGTAGACTTTAATTGGAGACTTTTTATCATTTAAATGGTTACTAAATGTGATGACAATCTCTAATAGAATAGCTGGTTGGTTTTCTTTACACATTTGAATACATTTTTTGCAAGTTATTTTTGAGTTGAAGCAATAACCTTGAACAAAGTCTACCATATTGTATATAGTACAAGAAAAAAATTTATCAATTCAAATATATAATACTTATTTTTATTTGTTTATTTTTTCGTGTTTCTTACAATTATTAGCGGAACAAACAACTTGGGAGTAGACGCGGAATTAATATTCTTGAAAGAAGAAGGAAGTTGAAAAAATTGAAAAATTTATAGAGAATAATTTAGTATAGTGAATTGGTGAATGAAAAGTGTACAAAGCCTTTACTTATTCGATTGTGTTACATGTACATAATGATTTATATATACATGATGTGATAAAATATGATTGTGTCAGAATTTCTTCAAAAAAAAAAAAAACTTTTTCATCCTCTTTTTGACACTTCATCTGTACGTAAACTATTATTTGTAATTTCTTATATACAAGTAGCATTATTCTTATTTATATGGGTAAAAATCAGTGTTCTGCAATGCGTAATGCGTTGCGATGCGTCGAGTTCGAGAATCAAGAATCACAAGTTTAGGCGTGTCAATGCGAAAAATAAGCGTCATAATGCGTTTCGTATTTTTAATATTATTTTAATTATTTTTAAGACATTAAATATATTTTTATATAAAAAAATAGATTTTTTACTATATCATAAAAAAATGAAAAATGCGTATGCGTTGCGATGGGTCGAGGCCGAAAATCAAGAATCACAAGTTTAGGCGTGTCTATGCGAAGAATAAGCGTCATAATAACTTTCGTATTTTTAAGGTATTAAATATATTTTTATATAAAAAAAATAAATTTTTTAATATATCATTAAAAAAAAAAAAAATTTAAAAAAAGGAATTAGGCGGGATAATGCACGCCTAGGCGCGCATTATGCGCGCATTAGGCACGCCTTTTAGATGGAAAACACATTTTTCTCGCATTTCCTGAATTCGACGCGTTTTAGGTCCGCGGTGCGCCTAGGCAGCACATTTTTACGCTTTTTAGAACATAGGGTAAAATAAATCCCTAAGACAACAAAAACAATATTACTAAAAGAAAATAAAATAAAAATCCTGAAAGGAAATGACAATCCTACAGTAATAAATATCTTCTGTCTTATTTCTAATAGAATTGTCTTACATCACACTCTGTAATGGAATACTAAACAGGATAACTTCGAGAATGCTACTTTCAATAGAAGACTAGTTTCGTGGAGTCACCTAACTTAAAAAGTGAGCTGCCATAAATGTCATTCTCAAAGGGGGGTCATTTGTAACAATTTAATCGTATCCCACACCGCTCATGAAAGGCCTTGTGGATTTATAAGGACTTCTGACACCCTCTCCACACAATCTGGTCTTAAGATGAATTGTGATTGTTACCACATATATTCAGAACTCAAGAGTGACAAGACTCATAAGATGGGAATCCCTTGTGTTAAGCACAAAATAGTACATGGTTGACAACCCCAGACCACGTTACATAGACCACAAACAAATTATCCAAAACCATCCTTATACAGTT